TTGGTTTAATTTCCAACAGCCTACCTTAAACCAAGATCTTCAAACTTGATCATGCCATGAGTAACATCAAGCCTTGTAGAAGTCAAGTACATTAGATTCTCCACCAATTCCCTAAAATATGTTGCATCAACAAAGTTGCGAGTATCGTCTTTAGTTAACATCAATTTCCCTTCAATATTGGCCATATATGATTTATCTTTAACCATGGTAAATTCCTTCAAAATATCAACAACATATTTTTCCTTTACTTTGAAATCATCTACTTCTCTGGTTGCCTTGTAGTTGGACTTGTACATTGATTCAACTCCAATTAGCCATTCTATAGGTTGTAGAGTAATGTAATTAATAGATATTTCGTCGTGCTCCTTGAAACATGTAATCTCGAACAATGGTATGAATTTATTTCATCTTCGATATCAATAATCATGTGTTATAGTTCTGGATCCCAAGCTATTTTTACCTCAATCTTGTGCAAATCATCAGAGACTTTCTCTTGATGAATCATCTTGCTTTTCTCGTTAATAGGTTCATCTTCAATACTATCAAATAACTTTCCAGGTGAAACACCAACTTCTTTTGGACGAACGTTCCTGCAACCAAATCTTCTTTAACAAACAGAGAACTTTTTGGCCAATCAATTTGAATATTATCTGACTTCCCTTCGCATTCAATAGAATTTTAACTTCTTCCAAAACTTCTTCATTGGTCCTTAGACCATTGACTATTACTTCAATTCTTGTAAAAGATTCTTTGATCGACTATGTTGGTCTCATACGAGCCAACTCAAATTGACTCCTAAATCTTTTTCGGGTTCTTTCAATCCTTCAAATTGGTATCAGAGCCTGTGAGAAATTCGGTCAGAGCCGGTAGGAGATCAAAAAAAAATATGGATACTCTATTACCTAATTGTCCTATTTTTGTGTTTGATGGCAAAAGTAATTCGAAACTTGGTACCAACAGATGAAGAAGTTTTTTAAGGTTATTGGATTATGGTCCACCATTGATGAAGGATTTGAGGAATCTGCGGAAGATATAATGCTGACAGGTGATGTAGCTACGAAGAAAAGACATTTAGATTATAAGGCACGTTCTGATACCAATTTGAAGGATTGAAATAACCCGAAGAACAATTTAGGCACAAGCAAAAAATTCAACAAATACTATATAGAAGAAATTTATTAAACTAGGGAGAGAACGTGGTAGGAGGCTTTTACACAACCCATAAACTCTTGAATCTCTCTACATTGTAGCTACCTCTCTACAATAGAAAATATGTAGTAGCACCCCTATTTATAATACTACAATCCAAAATTTACTAGACTAACAAAACCTATTCCAATATGAATTTGGTAAACAAAACCTAACTAGACATGGATTAAATAAACTAGTAAATACCAAATCCTAGATAATTTAAGAATACTAATTAATCTTGATTTAATTTCCAACAATTAGCAATCGTTTTATTTTCCTTTGGTGATCTCCTGTTATGAATCAAATCCAAGAAACCAATGACCATCTTTGCTTGTAGAAAGGGAGACGGTACACACAAAAAGTGCCAGAATGATAGAAACCTTGAAGGGTTAATTTCCCAATGACAGAATAAGCATTTTTGGAACACTGAATTTTGTGGTCCAGTTTTCTTGGTTTTTGAAGTCACATCTGGCAATACAGTTTCAACTTCTTTTTATGCCTTCATTCATTTTGTTCCTTCCAACACAACGGGATTAGCTTTCTCCATTCATTACCCCTCAAAACCCTTTTTTTCTTCTTCTTTACTCCGCTTTAATTTCTTATTTTGGTGGGATGAGTACTAGTTTTATATTATAGTTTTACTCTGATTGAGCTGCTCTTTTGGAAATTGTCCCAAAAGAATTCATTACTACTTGAGAAATCATACTCTCCAATTAATATCTGATTAATTACCAATTTTTTTTTAAAAATAAATAACACCCATAACATTGGGTGTTCCTTATATTACCACGCCAAAATGTTACACCAGTAAGGCATCTGCCTCCACTCAAAATAGGCTTAGGTACATTCTACCATCAACCCATAAAACCATCATATACATTAGCTTACTATGACATTGGCCTTTGTCATGCCCAATTAGTCCAAGGTAATTGCATTTTTTCCTACCGGAAGGGGCCAATCGCAATACATATGTGGTTCTACCAGATTGACAGCATGTTTGTTAGATTTTTTTTTTTTGTTTGTTGAGATATTTGAGCTTTTTTGAATTCTTGCTATACAGATTTTCTGCAAATTATACTTTTGAGCTGGCTACTTAAATCCCTCTATGTTTAATAAAAAAGTGAAGATATTTTCAATCAATACTTTAAATCTTTAATATGCTCCATTATTTTAAAAACCCCAACACTGGTATCAAAAGCCTCATTGGTCTTACGGGATCTGTGAGTTCTTCCAAAGAACCATTTTGAAATCTTTTTTAACAATATCAATTTTTAAACCAATTTTCAAACATGGCAAGCAGCAGTCTCTCATGGAATACCCCACAAACTTTTACTGGTGAAAACTAACAGATTTTGTTAGTGAAATGAAACCATATCTTGAAGCCTATGATCTATGAGAAGTTGTAATGGAAGATACACCATTACAACCACTCCCTGCAATTCCTATCCTTGCTCAAATTAAAAATCACTCAGAGGAGAACCAAAAAATATAAAGCCAAAACTGTTATTCAAAATTCAGTTGCAGATTCAAAAAAATTTTAAATTATTGAATGTGAAACATCAAAAGAATATTGGGAAAAGCTTAAAAAGGAGTACAAGGAAGTAATCGAGTCAGACAAATGCAGATTTTAAATTTGAAAAGGGATTTTGAATCTCTTAGGATGCAAGAAGACGAGACTATCACTAGGTATTCTGATAGGATTTCTTCTATTGTTAATAGAATCAGTTTGCATGACGAGGATTTCAAAGATGACAGAATAGTTGAAAAAAATTTGTAACGGTTCCAGAGAGATTTGAGTCCAAAATTTCCTCTTTAGAAAAATCTAAAGATCTCCCTACCATCTTTGTTGCATAATTAATAAGTGTTCTTCAAGCACAAGAACAAAGAAGAGCATTTAGACAAGAAATAGTTACCGAAGGTGCTTTTTATGCACAAAACAAAAAAGAAAAAGTCAATTATCCTCTTTGCAAATATTGCATAAAGAAAACACACCTAGAAAAATTTTGTTGGTGGAGACATGATAAAAAATATGTGATATTTGCAAACAAACATGCCATAATATTACAAAAGTGTGCAAGTTCTGAGACGCTCAACACAATCCTCAAGCACAAATAGCGGAAGCAGTAATTGAGGAGGAGAGATTATTTTAGAGCAACTGAAGCAAAGGAGGAGTATTGAAGAGATTTGCTTCAGTTACTGTTGTAATTTTATAGCATAATAAATTGCTTAGCTTTAGAATGAATGTGCTTTTTTAAATTTAATTTATTTGGTTTGTTGAGATATTTAGCTTTTTGAATTCTTGTTATGCAGATTTTCTACAAATTATGCTTTCAAGTTGACTATTTAAAGCCCTCTATGTTTAATAAAAAAGTAGAGACATTTTCAATTAATATTTTAGAATCTTTTTGATGCTTAATTATTTGTAAAAATCCAACAATGTTTAGCAATCCATCATCTACTTGATTAGCTTCTCTAAAACAATATAATACACTACAGTTTACTTGGAGTAAGATCTGAGATATGACATCAATGATAGAGTTCCACTTCAGGTTGGTAATATTCCTATTTTTTAGCATGTCAACAATGAGCAGAGAATCAAGTTCAAGTATGCAGTGTAAAAAAGCGTGATGCAAACACCACTAAGTCCTAAACCTTGTAGCATATGCTTCTGCTTGATTGTTAGAAGCATAATTCTTACTAGAGTATCCAGTTGGAATACCAAACAAAACAAAACCACTCGAATTGGAGGGTGGCTACTAATATTACAGATTGCTGTATTAGGCTCTAACCATTTCTTCTGACACGTTTTTAGATTTAATAAATACTGATTAATCTTCTCTACTCGGAGAGTTAAGAATCACAGCGGTGATCCATGCTCTCTTGACTTTAACGTGAAAGAACTATAAGTAAGGGAAAAATATCTCATTAATTTTAACAAATAGAAGTTTGTGGAGAAATTAATGTTGAGACATATCTAATCTAATAAAAGTGTATCTGATCATACAATTCAATACAATATCAAGGCAAGCAGAGATAATTGTTCTATTCCCATCCTCATCCATTAGGCAAAAAATTTACAACTGCTTGGCCATAAAAAATATCAGGCCACTAAAAGTATAAATAATAAAAAGTAAATAAGTGATAAGATTATGGAACTAATCATGCCTTTATAATAATCGATGTAGAAGTTGTTCCTCAGAAGGAGACAGGAGTATGCATCTCCCAAACATCCAATCAAGTAATCCCACAAACCGAAAACTTAACCAGGAATGAAAGAGTAGGGGGGAAGCGACTATTATGAGGCTTCACTGGCTCGCTGTAAGGCAAAAATTAAGATTTAAAAAAAACATAATTGAGTATCAATTAATTCATCATTTACTTTTATAGAGGAGAATTTTTCACATTTAAATTGTATATTAGATATTCTAATTAACACCCTTAAAAACTTTGATTTAGGTCAATCAAGATATCGTTAGTCTCCAATATATAATACACATAAGGCAAAATCCAATACAAAAAATTAAAATATCCAAGTAAAATCATGTAGCTTCAGTTGAATTGTAAACGAGTCTCAATAGATAGGTAGTTTTACCAAATGAAGAACAATTACATATAGCAAGTAAAGGAATTTGTGTTTACCTCCATGAGATTCTTAGACTGAGCTTGAACTAAGTTATTAGCTTCATACACTATGCTGAAAACGAAAGTCAAAAGCACCAATCGGGAAGTTAAATTTTTTATAGGAAAAAAAAAAAACACTCCTGAATCAAGAACCATAACCAACTAGCCAAAGGTGAAACCAACATACATGAATTAATCAGAAAGTTAATCATTCAAAACCATATTCCACAAACCAGCATACATGAATTTAGAAGATACAGTAATCACGAATATATAAAGATTATTTTCACATACTGAAATATATACTAGTAGTTTTTATTACTAGAAAGAAAGGCACTAGTACTTTTTCTTAAGAATTAACAATAAAAAAAGTTGAAACTCCAAGCTTTGATCAAGTATCAAGCAAGAAATTTACTGTCTTTTGACATAGTTTAAGGACCATAAAATCTTCCCTGGAGATTTCTGCACTGAGTAGGTAAAACTGTAGATTTCCTTTGTGGTTCATCTTTCTCCCTTTCTTCAGTATTATTATTGCCAGTAGCAGCCTTATTTTGGTTAGCTTTTTCTCCCTCAGATTCTCTATACCTATGCAAATACCTCTTAAAAGGCTCAGCATAATTATCAAACCCTAGACTTCCCAAAGCCCAACAAATATCATCTCCATTCACTGTCTTACGCTTCTCTTTGTGACACTTATCCGATGCTTCTCCAGTAACAAAGCTAATGAACTCAGATACACATTCTTGCATTGTTTCTTTGGCTTCTTTCGAAATCTTGGCGTTTTGGGGAAGAATTTGCTTCATAATCCTCCCCACATTAGCTATTGGTAACAACCTATCTTGCTCCTTAATTCCTCCTTCTTCGCTAATTGAATTGTATTTAGGGATTGAACCTAATATGTTGATGTTATCAACCATTTTAGGAAACCTAAAACCTCGATCCGCTCAAACACAGATACGTTGCTCTTTTCTGCGTATTATTTGCCTCTTTATAAGCACAAGTTCATCTGTATTACGCTAACTTGTAGTTAAGAATTTGTAATATCGCCAAAGATTCTACGATATATATAAAAAGTATGTATTAGTGGTGATGGCAGACAAATTTGTATAGATGGTACAAAGTTAGGTCATATTTTGTTATAGGAGTATATATTAGCCTTTTTTAAAGGTAATACTTGCTTTAAACAATTATGGATCAAATTAATGGTCCCCTCCCCTCTGCCTTCCTACTTGTTAATGTTTAATCCTCTCCACAAGTTTTTAGTAATTAACCATATCTCAATCAGTGCTTGAGATTTGAAATTTGTGGACTAACTATAATGCACATGTAGCATAGTGCTTACTAACCAAACAAAACCTAAAAATATCCGTTTGAAGTTTACATATGATGTTGAAAGTTAAATCGGAAAAAAGAACCATATGAGTTGAAAGAAAAACCCTAGTTGTTGGTTACGACCTACTACTTACTAGATCTTTGCACTAGATAATATTAATCCAGTCTTTTGAAAATTGTCATTTTCCATTCCACAAACTCGGGGACACTAGATACGAGGAGATATGCATTGTTTGCTTTATTTAGGTAACAGTAACATGAATATATATTATAGGTATAGTTGAGTCCAAGTTGCTGGCAGTGGCAGGCAAGGTTGTATAAATTATTGAAATTAGTACACAAATTATTGGTCCATGTTAAAGATATATACAGGCAAAGGATTCGAACTGTCCTCGTAAACAAACAGTGGCATCCATGATTTAAAGACCTATATGTCTAACTAGATACAAATTATACTTGTTTTTCCATATGAATATATATAACGTTGTCTAAAGTTTCAGATATTAATTAGCATATTATTATTGGAAATCGATTATCAGCAAATTAAATTAGAAAAAGAAACAACTACTGAACTCTTTGTTAAAACCACAATCTCTTCATTTATTGTGTTAGCCTGCTCAAAGAGATTATACTACATACTCAAGAAGCTGGCTTTTCATCAGTACGTTTATATAAGCTAGTCATAAGTAATGACAACCCAAGAATGATGTGTTCAAAACTCGGGTACTAAAACCATCACCTTATTTGAGACGTGTATACGGTCAAAATCGGGCTTGTCCTAGAACGAGGCAAGCCAAGGTTCGATTCCATGTTATATCGGACCACGATATAAAGTTAGATTGTCGAGCTCGAGATCCAGAGACCGATCGAGATCGAGATCGACGTCGGCAAAGATCGAAACCAGGCAGGATAGAGATCGAGCAAAATCGAAGGAAGTTTACCGAGCCAAATAACAGAAGTCAAAATATCTGTAATCGGGCGAGGATCACGGCAGGAATCTCGGCACGTATTAAGAAGAGGCCGATTAATTAGCTAATCATGGGATTTCTTACTGTATTTAGAATTGTATCAAAGGTAGGATTCCCCTACTATATAAAGGGGGTCTGATCATTTGTAAAGGACATGATATTCACGCAATACAAAGCAATATACCGTCTTTCTCTTAAGCTCTCAATACTCTATTACTTAGTTCATACTTTCCGGTGAAATACTCATTAGGTTCGAGGGCGATCTAAGCTCGAGGGCCAAGGCTATACATTTCCTTCGTTTTGCTTTAATTTCTATTTTCGGTTAACTCCAATATCAATTTACGTTTTTCTCAGTTTGTGCCAAGTTGTATCACGTGTCCTTAAAACCATAGTATAAATACAATTGTTATCCATTTTAGGGTAAACAATTTGGCGCCCACCGTGGGGCTAAGGATAATAGTGATTTCCTGGGACAAATTTTCGTAACACACACTATTTTACACTTGTTCTTTAAAGTATCTTTGATTACAGGATTAAAAAATATAAAACTCTTAGTCAGCACCTCAAAACATTGACAATGATCCCGACCACCACGGCGAAAATGAGAACATTGCACCAAAAAATATTGTACCCCATGCTGGCCTCGATGAAATTCCGGTCGTAGATCCAATCGGCGTCAGTTCGCATGTAGCCATCAATGGAAATTTGGCCGTCGATCCCGATAGCAGCGTTCGCGGGGGTACTCGATAAGCTACTCAGAACCCACATGATGGTGAAGGCGGGATCATCCTACGGATGATTTTTGAAATGTTGTAGGCCCAACAGGCAGCACTAGCCCATCTCCAAAATCAGAACCACACACCGAGCAGGGTCGAACTCGAGCCATCCCAGGAAGTTGTACACAAGATCGAATCGACTTCTAGGAAATAGAATGAGAAGGAATCGGATACGAATCCTACTATACTAAAAATGCTCGAAGAACTGACAAAGCGAATGGAGACAAGGGAAAAGAAGATCGAGGAAAACGATAAGAAGGTGGAAACCTATAACTCCAGGGTCGACCAAATCCCGGGGCACCACCAATATTGAAAGGACTAGATTCCACAAAGTTTGTACAAAAACATGTCCCCCCCAAGTACAGCGCCGAAGTCAATCCCCAAGAAGTTTCGTATGCCCGAGATTCCTAAGTATAACGGAACCACTGATCCAAGCGAACACGTTACCTCCGACATATGTGCTATCAAAGGAAATGACTTGGAAGAAGACGAGATCGAATCGGTCCTGCTGAAAAAATTCGGGGAGACTTTATCGAAGGGTGCTATGATATGATATCATAATTTACCACCTAATTCTATTGAGTCTTTTGCTATGCTTGCATATTCTTTTGTAAAGGCATACGTCGGGCCATTAAGGTCGCAACAAGAAAGTCGAACCTTTTCAAGGTAAGGCAGAAAGACAACGATATGCTCAAGGAATTCGTATCTCGATTCCAAATGTAATGAATGGATTTTCCACCAATCACCGACGATTGGGCTGTTCAAGCTTTCACTCAAGTTCTTAATTTTCGGAGTTCCATAGCTTCACATCAGTTGAAGCAGAATTTGGTCGAATATCCACCTGTCAGTTGGGCCGATGTACACAATCGGTATCAGTCGAAGATCAGGGTCGAGTATGATCAACTAGGGGATCTTTCTGGGTCCGTTTATCCTAACACACCCGTGGATAGAATCAAGAGGGATATCAGCCGAGAACCGAGGACGAAAAGAGATCAATATCAACCATATAATGCAGACCGTAGAGGCGGTGGATCTGGGCGAAACTCTGCACGGAATGAGAGGAGAAATGATTGAGGTTAAAGTTTACGGGGACTCATGAGCAAGAGTGGTTTCGATAGGGATGTCGGGCCCAAAGAAGCACCGCGACTATCGGTGTATAACTTCAACATTGATGCGTCCGCCATCGTATCTGCCATCGGATGTAACAAAGATACTAGATGACCTCGACCCCTACAAACCCATCCAGCCCAGAGAAATCCCAACCAAGTGTGCAAGTATGATGGTACCCATGGCCATAAAATAGAAGATTAGAGACAGCTAAGGGAGGAAATAGCCTGATTGTTCAACGAAGGGCACCTTCGAGAATTCTTAAGTGATAGGGCCAAGAATCACTTCAAAAATAGAGATTCAAACAGACAGAACGAGCAAGAAGAGCCACAACACATGATTCACATGATCGTTGGAGAGGTAGATATTCCTCAAAGACCAGTATTTAAACGCACCAAGGTGTCGATCAAAAGGGAGAAGCGAACTTGCGATTACTTACCAAAGGGAACATTGTCTTTCAATGACGAGGATGCAGAAGGGATCGTACAACCCCATAATGACGCACTGGTAATATCTGCACTTATGAATAAGACTCAAGTTAAACGTGTTTTAATTGATCCAGGTAGCTCGGCCAATATCATTAGATCGAGGGTCATTGAACAGCTTGGCCTACAAGATTAGGTTGTGCCCGCAGACCGAGTGCTAAACAGTTTCAATATGGCATGTGAAACCACCAAAGGCGAGATATCTTTGCCAGTAAATGTGGCTGGGACCATCCAAGAAAGGAAGTTCCATGTGATCGAGGGTGATATGAGGTATAATGCCCTATTCGGAAGCTGTGGATCCACAACATGAGGGTAGTGCCCTCGACCCTTCACCATGTTCTAAAGTTCCCGACACCAGAGGGAGTCAAAATAGTCTACGGGGAGCAACCCGCTGCGAAGGATATGTTTGCGGTCGATGAAGTGATCTCGGTATCAAAACTATCATCGACAAAGGACTCAAGTTTGAGAAAGAAACAGAAGCCAAATAGCAATTATCGGTGCCAGCTTCGACCCAATCGGGTGAGCAAGGGATTAATGAAGATGATGACTTCGGGGTTCCTCGATCTTTTATCGCCCCCGATGATTCCATCACCACCAAGTCAACGATCGAAGAACTTGAGCAGGTCATGCCGATTGAACATCTTCCCAAATGAAAGGTATACCTGGGCATGGGGCTAGCCCCCGAGCTCATGGTAAAACTTATTAAACTAACTTGGATTGCTTTGCTTGGTCCCATCTTGATATGACGGGGATCCCACCAGAAATCATCATCCACAAACTAATCCTGGACCCGAAGTTCCACCCGCTGAAGGAAAAAAGAAGACCCCAATCCGAGTTTAAACACGCTTTCATCAAAGACGAGGTAGCCAAACTTCTTAAAATAGGGTCCATCCGGGAAGTAAAATATCCCGAATGGTTAGCGAACGTAGTAGTAGTCCCTAAGAAGGGGAAAAAACTTAGAATGTGTGTAGATTACAAAGACCTAAATAAAGCATGCCCCAGAGAATCTTTTCCTTTGACTAATATCGATCGTATGATCGATGCCACGGCCGGTCACGACATCCTTAGTTTTCTCGATGCCTACTCCGAGTACAACCAAATACAGAAAGACCTCGTTCATCACTAAGTATGGGACCTACTGCTATAATGTAATGCCATTCGGATTAAAAAATGCTAGTGCAACTTATCAACGCCTAGTAAATCGAATGTTCGAAGAATAAATAGGGAAATCTATGGAAGTTTATATTGATGACATGCTAGTTAAGTCCCTACGAGAAGCGGACCATTTCAATTTGCAGGAAACTTTCAGTGTACTGAAGAAATACAACATGAAGCTCAACCCAAAAAATGCGTGTTCGGGGTCGGCTCTGGCAAATTTCTCGACTTCATGGTATCCACTCGCGGAATCGAGATCAACCCCGACAAAATCAAAGCTATCACGGACATCAC